CATTGATCACGATACTACACACACACACACACACACCCCACCCCCCCCCCCCAAAAAAAAAACGAAAGAAAAAGGAAGAGGAGAATTGCATTAACAATGCATCTATACCTTATCTCCATTTTTTTTGTATCTAGAGTTACTGTTAGATTCCCATGTTTCATATATCTTTCCATTTCCACTTGAGTCAATAATTGGGAGTCATTGCATAAGGTCAGTCATGCTATCACCATTTTTCAATTGTAATATTTGTCTTGTTGGTAGACATGCTATAGTCATTCACACGTAGAAATATTTACATCAAGGAATCCATACTCATATCATATGAGTAATCCAACCACTATAGAAGTTCCTATTTCGTAAACACCTCACATGGCATGTTGGAAATCGAACTATCATTATTAACATATGAAGCTTGAAAACTAATTAACGTACAAATACTTTTATTCTTTAATTTAAGAAAGAAAATCATTCAAATTTAAGGCTTAATCCCCTTTACTGTTGCTAAAGTTTCAACATTGTGCCACATACCTCTCCACAACTTGTCAAAGATGTTCTATTCTTTGAAGGGAACTCCATGGAGCAAAGACAGAGGAAGCTCTTGATCCTATTTTTAGGACATGTCAAATTAAATCTGGAAACTTTGTTAGTTTTGTTGAAGTGCTTCATATGATTGAACTGAAGCAGATGATTTAACTGTTGTTGAAGTGAACAAACTGTAATTTGACAAGTTACATGTTTTATTTAATTCTTACCAGTCTAATAGTTTATAGTTAGTTCTTCTCTGTGCTAGTATTAGTGGAGGCTTTGATCTACTCTCTATGCTGTATCAGCTGAGTATTTAAAGCTAAATTTTTACTGGTGATAGGAGTAAAGATTCTTTGGCTGCCAACTCGAAGTGACTCCGAATGCAAACTCTAGTATGTGTCACACAACAAAAGTTTAGATTTTTTGATTTGGTATCGGCAAAATACAGCTCTTACATTCTTTATATAGTTCATAACGTAGTATGCGAGTTTCTTCTTTCAAGTTGTGATTGTAAGCGAGTTATATTAATTATAACTCCTTTTTATATTTCTACCCCATATTGATATTGTGTATGGCAAGATTGGGAAAGGGGGGTTCCTTCTTCTTAGTTTTTTCACAGTTTCATCGTTTTTTTCTATAAAAAAAAAAAATCAAAAACCCGTTCGCTAATACAATCCAGATATAAACCTCAAAAGTTTCATAAAAATTTCTAATTTTTCACTGTAGAACTAACTATCAGAGAATAGAATTGAAATCTTGAAACTCAAACAAGTATATACAAAATAATAGGCAAGGGAATTGGGAATCTCATAAAATAATAACAAGAAATTCTAAAGGTTTTATAACTTACCTGTTGAAGAGAAAACAAATTAGAGTAGATGATGATAGATGGAGAGTGGAAGAGGCGTGAAATTTATGCACAGAAGATGGAGAAGAGAAGCGTGAAACTTTGCTAAAATAAAGCAGTCGTTGAGCGAAACTTTGCGAAAATAAAGTTAGTACCGGTTTTTTCAAAAGTCTGAGCGACAGTAGGACTTTGTTATAGATCTACCCGAATAAGATACTTTCAGACCTATTAAGAGCTTTTAAAAGAGAAAAAACAAATAGACTTAATGGGCTGGATCTGAATAATTAGAGTTAAGATTTAAAAAACAAATACACTTAATGGGCTAGATCTGAATGATTCAGATTCAGACCTCGTGAGGCCTTAAGCTGCCATGATACTACCCGCCCCATAGCTTCTGATTGTCCACCAGTCAAGAATTATTGGCCATCCATCGTTTACAAAAAATTTCATTATTTCTGACTTGCTCTCTTTTGATGCTTAAGGTTGAATAGATTCCTTTTTCCTTTAAGATCTTTCTCACTATACCCAGGAAATAGGCAGAGTTGAGCACATGAAAGTAAAGGTCTGTCAGAGGAACAATTTTTTCCCTTCATTAATATCAATGACGAAGTACCTATATATATACAGGGGCATAAATACTAACTCAGAAGGGTACACACTAAGCTAAAGAATGCCTATTTAGAGACCCTCACTAATGCCATATCAATGATTTTTATCTACCGCGTAACAGATTGCTCTTCAAATCTCCCGTGCTGCTTGAATTGAGGAAAATGCACACACCTTGAACTGTCTCAACTACAAGATGGATGTTGTCACTTGATTCAAAGACCATTAAAGATGGATAATCTGCTAGGTTAGACCATACTGAACGGTGCAAACCTCTCTGTGAGCAGCAACAGCAACAGCTGCAGCCCCAACTGCCCCAAACTGTGTTTGTGCCTGTAGTAGTTTTGCATCTATGGCAAGTTGACCTCCCAACTGTGCTACCTTTGCCTGTGTATGGTAGTACGGGTTGGTGTTCATATCGATACTCATACTAGACGTCGACTTGGCAACCATGCACTGCCCAGGTTGCGGCTTAACTTGAGAGCGGTCCTTCTCTGCTTCGGTTCCATACTTCTCTAGATTTGCAGAATTACTTCTGAACAAATAATGTGGAGAAATGCCATGCGGTGGGAGGACAGGATTCTGAGAATATACTCTTCCATCAGCGACTTCTTTCATGCTTCTGTCACCATCATATCGTAAAACCGGCCCTACTGCTCTTCCAGGTTTGGCTGAAAAATGATAGAACTGGCTATTAGAGAAGAATCCAACATACATGCATCCCACCATCAAAAATATTTGGCAAGGGCGTTAAAAAGCAAATCAAATAAGCATTCAACATTCTCTAAGTTTCAGCATTACGTATATACTTATTGGGACACCACGTATATATGATCTTCTACTCATCCCCTCTCCCCCACCTCTGCAGGAGGGATAACTTAAGTCGCCTTAAGTTGCGTTCTCCATAGCTGAGTAGTGAGTTCTAGTTCATCCAATGTATTACCACATGGAGAAATATTTGACATTCATTTTGAAGACGTAGACATAACATACATTATTGCTGGGAGTCCCAGCACAGAAAATGTTAACCATACCTGTGGGTACTCGAGGTGGTGGTCGCAAAACCTTCTGGTCTGTGACTCTGACGCCAGCAGTTGCCTTTTCTGTTACTTGCCTATGATCAAACATAGGGTTCTGTTGTGTTCTGGGAGGGATGGTACTGGAATTAACCGTAGATCTGCAACACATTTAAGAACATATGTGAGAAAGCCCCAAATAAACAGACTGAAAAGGAGAGAGCAGAAGGGAAAAGGTAGGAGCCACACTCTCAGGCTATGTTGTGCTGACTCTCCAAAAATGCCGCTGCACCCGTGTCGGATCCTCCAAAAATGCACTGCTTTTGGAGGATCCGACATGCACCCGACGACATTTTTGCGGAGTCCGAGCAACATAGCTCTCAGGCAACAGCTTTTCCAATTTAATGCACAAGTTATTTTTCCAAATCTGAACTTTCTCAGGAAGCATGAAAGTACATCTTATTGTTCAGTTAGGTCACTTCTCCAGCAAATACAAGAATAAACAAAAGCTCTTTCTGTGGGAGAGATAAAGTGAACAAACAGAAGTACAAACGAAAAGAACATATTCATGAAGACAAAACCAACAAAACATCATGGAGACAAAACCAACAAGACAAACAACTAATGGAATCTTACCGTGGGAGAGAGACGTGCTTTCGACCAGGAGGAATTACTGGACCACTTTTACCACTATTTTCCTCGAGAAAGGCAAATTGCCTTCTGAAATTACCAATGGCACTGCATATTCAATGATTGTTAAAATACCAATCAGTAACTTAGACAAGATATTATGGTACAAGAAAACAGAGACAAAAAATAGTAGAGAAGTATAACAACCTAGGATAGAGAAAATTTGCACCATCATTTCCAGCCATGTAGTCCTTCAGAAGCTGAGGATGGTACTCTAGTATCTCCCGAAATATTAGTTCTCTAATGTCCTCCTTGGTGACCATTCGCCGCTCAAACTCGAACTCCAGCTTCGAGATTGGTGGACTAGAAGGTTCCCTCTCAATCTTGGCCAGTCCCTTAAAGTAAGGATCAGCCAAAGCCTAAAAGATAGGAGGAAAAACACAATAAATGAGAATGAAATTAGATAAGGACAAGCACAGAGAGATTCCATTCACGTAATCTTAACACCACAAACATATGAGGTAGAGTTACCTGTTCAGCAGTTGGGCGATCCTTTGGATCAAATGCTAACAACCTCCGCAACAGCCCGAGAGCCAAAGGATCTGCATTTGGAAATTTCTCGGTAAAAGGAACTGGGCTCTTTTTCCGCATGTCTGTCAAATACTTCCTTGCCTTCTCATTGCGAACCTGCACTCAAGAGGGAATGCTCTTCAATTGATTTGTTGTCGGACAATGCTAACATCAACAAAAACCAAATAGACTGATGTCTCTTACCCCAGATACGATATCAGCTGATGGTGTCCCAAGAAGATCAGTAATCAAATCCAACTGGTGCACAACACTTTTGCCTGGAAACAGCGGTTTCCCTGTCAGGACCTCCGCAAAGATACACCCAATACTCCAGATATCAATAGCAGGTGTATACTGCAAGGAATTCAAGCATGAATTAGAAGATAAATCAGCAAAAAGATCAGTAAAGCCCTGGTGAAAAATTGACCCAAGACCTAACACAGTTACCTGAAGAATAGAAAAATCAACTTCCAGGAGAGTTCAATAGTCCTCCCTGAACAAGAACGGTTTTAATCTACACATCACTATTTAATACACTCGGAACGGAACAAAAATCTGTTATTCTAACTAGAAAGCCCTTCCTTTTAGCACTATCATTATACACGACATGGCAACAATACTGAATAACAAGTACCTTTTCACCTTTCTAAAGCATGGGGAAAAGGAGTCTTTACATGATGCCAAAACGGCATCTAATCAATTGAATCCAGCAAAAACGGGCATGAAAATGCTCTGTGATTATGCACGAGCTATTGCAAGGTGGCTAATTAATTGACGACTAAATATGTAATCCTAAGGTACAAAATAAAACAACGCAAGGAGGGGTGTTGCAATACTTGACAAGTATAATTTTTTATAAGTGAAAAGTATTCTGACATATTAAGAAAATCACCTAAGACAAAATTCTAGAATGGAACTCATAGATAAGGTACAAAATAAAATGTACTAGCTATTATCGGGGAGCTGAAAGAAGCTGCACAATATTTGCATATATTACCTTAGAGAAGAAAGACCCACATAGCTCTGGTGCTCGGTACCACCTTGTAGCAACATAATCCTGCATAATGTGTCACAACAAGACAAAAATGAAGAATGTTCTAGTCAAAATGAAGGAAAACGTTCACCATTTTAGTAAAGCTTTACATGATCTAAACTAAATCCAAGTAATCCTTATATATGACATGCGAGCTAAAATGAAAGCTTACCGTCCAAAATATACTAGTTGGAGTATCACTGAATGCAACCCTTGCCAATCCAAAGTCACATATTTTGAGTTTACAATTCGCATTTGCCAATATATTTTTGGGCTTAAGATCTCGGTGGTAAACATTTGCTGAAATGAATATATATCAGTCAGAATGGGGAAAACAGGACCTTCATCCACGGGCTGAAAATAAACATCCTTAGGAAAAGTTAATGATATATCATCAATACTAAAAGTTAGTTCATTCACTAGACTATCACCTGTGTGCATAAACTTCAATGCTCGCAGCATCTGATAGAGGAAAAACCGATGGTGCTCATGTGTCAAGTCATCGTTGGCCTTAATGACATGGTGAAGATCAGATTCCATAAGCTCAAAAACAACATAAATATCTCGAAATTCTCGTCTTGAAGGTGGTAACATGATTCGCTTAATTTCAACAATATCGGGATGCCTAAGAAGTCTAAGCAATTTGACTTCACGCAGAATTCGAATTGCATCAGAGATGTGCTCGAAAATATCAGTTATTTTCTTTATAGCCACTTTCTCTCCTGTATGAGTGTCAATGGCAGCACAAACTACTCCATAGCTTCCCTTGCCTATAACTTCCAAAATTTTATACCTATTCGCATCACCGTACTCGGTGAAGAACTCCACTTCTTTGGAACTCTGTATGATCATTAACAAAGAATCAGAACATACATTCCATTGTAGTAAATATAAGATGAAACTTGTATGGTTCTCAAAATATATGTTAATGCAATATTCAAATAATATTCCTAGATAATCAACCTTTCAAGAGAGAGAAATAAGGATTAATTTGTAACTTGAATAGAGAATGTGACCAGATTTGAAAATTAGACCACACACTCATGAAATACTATTTCAGAGCAAAAAAGAGGCTACGCAAAGAACTTAAGAATCAGATCACATTTCGAATTGACATAGTAATTAGGATAAAGTAAAAAATTGGAATCTAGAAAACCAAAAAAAAAATTCAAAAATGAAGACACGCAGCTGACTCAATCAGTCAATTATGGCTCAACTCTACCTAGATGGGTTCGGCTATATCCATTTCCTCTATATTTCACTGGAAAAAATTCTGTCTTTTAATTAAGGCAAATTAGGGTTATCTAGGAAATATCAAATCCAGATCTCTCCTTTCTTAAAAAGAACAAAAAGAAAAATTTGTAAGAGGACGAGAAAGAAAGAAACCTTCTTGCGATAATCTTGCTGCATCTTCAATACTTGTTAAACAATCCGGGGAAACCAATAAATTCAAAAAGAGGATATCTTGAGGGTATTAAACAAAAGATCAGATCAAAAAAACCAAATCCCAAAATACTAGAGAATAAATGAGAATTTAGCCGCACTTGCCCCAGCGACACCAACTACGGATAACCAAACGGCAGTCCCTCGTTATTCTCTCCCAAATCACCACCAACTTACTCATCCACTTCTCAATTAACCCAACTTTGATTCTCTTCTAACACTAACACATACACACAATTAAAGACTATCAGTTGAATCCTACAAAACTTGAAAGGAAGAACTGTAACCCTTTTCGGGGCAAAGAAGGAGGCCCAATTGAAGAGAAGGAAGAAAGGAGAGGAAATATGGGTGAGCTTTGGGGTCTTTTTAAAGGCAAGGAAAGGCTGTGCCTTTGCGTGTTTCTGCGGTTGTGTTTTCCCCTCTTTTTTATTTTTTTATTTTTTCCTCTATTTCTATATTTCATTTGAAAAAAGAAAAATTACCCTAAAACTTTATTTTATCAAAAATTGAAGTTTAAGCGATATACCATTGGTCAATTTATTTAGCACTATTTTCCTTTTTGTTTGTCCCTAAAGATCAGGGCATATTTATATTAATAAAATCTACGTTAAAACATATTTATGCTACTGTTAAGATTTTTTTTGGTACAAGACTACTTTCAGTATTTTATATATATATATATATATATATATATATATATATATATATATATATATTTTTTTTTTTTTTTTTTTTTTTTTTTTTTTTTT